CACACTAGTGAGTCTATGAGAAGCTGAGATACCCTAAAAGGCACAGAAAATATGTCTCTACTAAACAAATCCTAGAGAAAAAAAAGACAGTTTCTAAGGGTAGGGGTGTCAGGTGTGTTCTTGTGGTCAGTGGATGCACATTTTGCAGGTCCCTACTGGGAACTGATGAAAATGGTGTCTTTCTCCAGGCTGGTCCCTGAGTGGTGTCTAGCTGCCTCAAGCAAGCCCCTTTCTTTGTTGCTATGCCTGTGGATCTTTCCCGAGTCACTGTGGCTTATGACATTCTGTCCAATTAGCTGTCAGCACATTTCCTTTTACCCTCACTGCAATGACCTTACTTCTTCTAAGACCCCATACCATTAACTGGTTCAGTCGGAGCTAAACAAAAAGCCATTCTCAAAGCCCCATTGCTAGGCAATGGGAACCCATTGAACTAAATCTCCAGTGGAAAATACTGCTAAAATACAGATGAGAACAATTATTGCAATTTCACCATAAATTGTTAATTTGGCTGAGACTAATACCTTGTAAAAATTTTCAGGAAAAGTTGAGAATCTACATCTGGAAATAGCAAATCTGAAACTTATGAGTGCTGACATGATGCTCTTTCCCGAATCTGAACTATTTTGGAATTCAAAGTTTCTGAGTGATCAGTTAGTAAAATCTATGCCAACATCCCCAAATCCAAACAACTCCAAACTCTGAATTGCCTTTGGTCCTAAGCATTTCTGATAAGGGATACACAATCTACACAGGCAAAACTTAAGTTAAACTATGAGAATTCATTTCTCATTTCTTTAGAAGCCAGGGTCTCACTTAGTGTAACCTGGCCTCAAATGTGTGTAGCTGAGGGTGGTCCTCCTGCCTTGTCTCCCTTCTGAGTGTTGGGATTACAGGCCCGTTTTCTTGTAGTGCTAAGAAATGAAATTGGGGTTCATGCATGCTAGGCAAGCACCCTACCAACTGTGCTATGTCTCCAACCCCTTCCTGCTGCTTTGAATGTGTGTCTTTTCTAGTACATGTGAAAATGTGACAATTCACATACCGCCAGTGTGCATGCTGGCTACTCGTTCAAGTAATGTGCTTGAATAGTTCACCTCTGCTGAGTGTGACAGGCAGTACGTGTTCTGTGCCTTCACAAGCACGTGCTGTAAGTTCTTTGCTGGTATTTGCTTTGAGAAGCAATGAGTGAGGCCAGTTCTCACCGTGAAATCAGACCAATTTATTGTCTCCAATCCAGGGCTAGCTTAGATTTCAAGCTCTGTATCTTGAACTGAACTAAAACACTTTATCCACAACCATCATGGGAGGAAAAGTTATGATTAAGGAGAAGGCTTTTAAAGACCAACAGAATTCATGAGAAGGGTTCTTATGACTTCTTAGAAAACAAACTGCTCTTAAAAAACAACTTTGATGAGTTAAGTGCAAAATGAATGAGAAACATATGGGTTATATTTCCCTAAAGATGCACGAGAGCTTAAACACTAGAGGGAATGTGTTTGCAAAGTGTGTCTGAGAAGTGTTACAAAATAGATTTCAAAATGCTTGAAAAACAGCCCGAGGTAGCTGGCAAACCTCGGATGGGGTGCAATAATTCATCTACCCCTAACTACATAAGATGCGCGAGTGCTACAGCCCAAGATCTCTGTTATAGACGAGTAGTCATACTGTGGTTAGCTATTCATGTAAGAAATTACTGAAGATATGCTAACTGAGAGACATCTGAAGCATTCAATGTGAAACCGGGCTGTGGAGTGGAGCTTCCATGGTGCCCGGTAGCTAACGGCAACCACACATACAGCCAGGAGAATGAGGCTTAGAAGCCAGTGCAACTGTCGATGAACCATGCCACTTACACAATGCTCAAAATGCAGGTTTTTTTGAAACTCTCGGGATGCTTAGTTTCTTATATAAAGCCTTGCGCTAAAAAACAAGAAACATGCTGGGCGTTGGTGGTGCACGCCTTTAATCCCAGCACTCGGGAGGCAGAGACAGGCGGATCTCTGTGAGTTCGAGTCCAGCCTGGTCTCCAGCGCGAGTGCCAGGATAGGCTCCAAAGCTACACAGAGAAACCCTGTCTCGAAAAACAAAAAACAAACAAACAAACAAAAAACAAGAAGCATATACACCTGCACTCGGATGTAACAAGTGGCAGCAACAGCCCCGGATGCATTTATGTCTCATGGCATCGAGACTCTGCTTCCCCCATCCCTGTCACTAACATAAAAAGCAATAGGATGTGTTACGATAAGTCTTCTAAAAACGTCCTGGTAAAAGAGCCCTGCTGGTAGGGAAGGTGAGCAGTTAAAACCCTCAGAAAGCAGGGAAACTTTCTGGTGAGTAACTTTTGTGTCTGTTTAGCTTTGCTCAGAGTAACCTGAGCTAGGCCAGGTCCCCATCCTCCTGTGTAAGAGCCATGTACTGCAGCAGGTTGCTCTATAGCCTGCCTCCTCTTTTGCAGACAGCTGAGTAGAAATCCGATGACAATAAATGTATCTCAAATACACTCAGCATTGCAAATGTCCTCTTCAGTTCCTCAGGGCTTTGTATTTCTTAACTACTGTCAACCTTAATGAATCAGCTGGGCATCCCAATCCAAAACGCTGCAGAATCAGAAGGCTAGACAAGATGCTACAAGTGGATGCCACCACACCCAGCCTTGTGACAGGGCACAGCCAAAATAAAGGGGTAAAAGGACTGTTGACGGTGAACCACTCCATGGAGGCAATTACCAGGAAAGGTAAGATTAGGGAAGAGATTCTACAGAGGACAAAGTAACTGCTTCCCTGTGTGGGTGCAGTAGGAGCAAGGACTGTGAAGAAAGCTGGAAGCAGCCAGGTAAGTCAGGGGAATCCCTGTTCCTCTGCCTGTTCATTAGAAAGGAAGTGGAGGATGCAAGGTGCAAGAGGACCAGGCAATGCTCGGCTTTCTCAGTTTCTTGATTAACTCCTGCTTTCGATGGGGAAACCACCAGCAATGAACTCTGCTCTGCCCCAACCCACCTCACAACTCCAGGCCACACTGGCCCTCAGCCCTGGACAAGGGTAAAAGGATTAGTGGGGCAAGTGGGACAACTGGGCCCTCCCTGGCCGCTGCTAGTTTGATACCACTTACCTAACTCTTTCCTGTGTACACTTCAGAAGGACAAAACTTCATTTGTGGTCACAGGAAGTTAAAAAAAATAAACAAGTAGAGCCACAGAAGTGTTTCCAGGTACATTCCAAGCTGTAAATATGACCCAGTGCGGCAATGCAGCTATGTGCAAACCCCAGCTTCACACTTGCTCTACCCAGAGCACTTCTGGTAACCAAGTCTTAGCTTCTCTTCTGTGACTTAGATAAAAGTACTGACAAAAGTCACTTCAAGGAGAAAGATTTATTCCAGCTTACAGCTCAAAGGTACAGTCCATCATGGTGGCAAGTAGAGGTGACAAGGGCATCAAGCAACTAGTCACATGGTATCCACAACCAGAAAGCAGAGAGAAGCAGGCCTTCGAGTGCTCTGCTCACTTTCTCCATCTGACACAGCCCAGAATCCCAGCCAGGGAACTTGCAGCCCATAGCTAAGATACATCTTCCCACACCAACTGCCACAATGAAGACAATGTCTCCCACATTCGTAGAGGCTAACCTTAATCTCGATAATTCCTCACAGGTGTGCGTGAGGCTTGTCTCCTAGGTGACTGCAGATCCTGTCAGGATGTCGGTGAACACTAACCATCAGGCAGAATCATAGAGAACCCAGAGAAGTGACACAACACAGTTCACACACCAGAGCTTTACTCCTCCCCATGATTCTCAGCAAAGGAAAAGAGGCCATTAATGTGATACAGATAGGAAGGAATATTGAAAAACAAATGCCAAAGAGGTGCTTGGAGCCCATAATTCTGTACCACAAAGACATGGATAAATTAAATCTCTCACTTAAGAACCCAGGGCAACAGTGGGATATGGCTAGGCTCCAATTACATCTCATTAAAATTAATGAGCAGGGGCTGGAGAGACAGCTCAGCCACTAAGACCCTTGGCTGCTCTTCCAGAGAACCCAGTTTTCAGTTCTCAGCACTAACATGGTGGCTCACAACGATCTGTAACTCTAGTTCCAGGGTATCAGACACCATCTTGTGGCCTCTGCAGGCACTGTATGAATACATAAATGCAGGCAAAACTCTACACATAAAAAAATAGTTTTAAAATTAAATGAGCATATGAAAAGATGCCCAATGTCAGTTGTCATTAGGAACAAGCAAATGACTTACCAAAATGGTGAGATCCAAACAACTGCCACCACCAAATGCTGGCAAGGGCGCGGAGCAAGGGGAAGGTTCACTCTCTGCTAGGACAAATGCAGGATGGCCTTGGCCACACAGGGAGACAGTAGTATAGTTTCTTACAAGATTACACAAAACCCCATGCATGAACAGTGTAATTATGCAAGCATGGTTTGTAGCCATTTTATTCATAATTGCTGAAGTTAGAAGCCACTGAGAAACCATTCAGGAGGTAGTGTATAAACAGGGAAGAGTTACATGTGTAACTACTCCTGGATGACGCACACAAGTCTGAAAAGCTACGAGTTCTCATCCAACTAGACTGAAATCTGAACTACAGAGACAGAAGAGTATGGCTAGAGGACCTGGGAGAAGGTGGGAAGAAGAACAGCAGGGGGCTTGTGGGATTTTCAGGGCAGTGGAATGATTGTCCATATAACAGTTATGGTAGTACACGAATATGCTCTTGTCAAAATCCACAACACGATGCAGACTGAAGTCCATTGCAAGCTATGGACTTTTGTACAAGAGCACTTCTATCACACCAATGCAACATGCTAATGAAGATGGGGGCATTGGTGAGAGAGTATGGGACCTGCAAGAACCATTTCTGCTCCTGTTTTCCTAAAGTTCTCTAAAAAATAAAGTCTGATAATTCAGGAAATAGTTTTTGGAGTGTCATCAAATAAGGCTCATGATCTGGAAAATTCACTGTACAGAACATCCATTATATAATAGTATAACATAAATATTTATTAAAATAATTAATTGGAAAACTACACACATTACCACATCAACCTTAAAATTATTAGCATATTGCACAGAAAACAAAATACCAAGTTGCCAATATAAGAGTTCATGAGAAAAGGTCATTGCCAGCTAGTGAGGGGTATGTTGTTCCCAAAGTAGCACACATCACTACATATCAAAGCTAAGCCACATGAGAAGCCACCAACAGTCAACTCTCTAGAAATTTATTACTACATCACAACTTACATACAAACACAACAAAGCTTGAGACTAGCAAACAGTAGTGTGAAAAGTGAGAGGAAACAACATTTAACAGATACAACTTAGAAACCTCTTTTTAGGTGAATTAGTTTTAAATACTGGATGGCAAACACTGGAACAAAACACTCTAGCAGCACACCTACAAACCATTCTGACATGTAGGGGTCCCACTAGACACTGTGTCCACAGAGAGGCGGCCAAGGACAATGCTTAACTGCCATGCAGCCACATGAACAAGAGTGTTTTCCTAATGTACTTAGGTTCTCAGAGGGTGGACAGAGAAACTGCTCGTCTCCAAAATGTTTAATACCATCATGTGGATTTGTATTTGCATAACTCTGAGAAGCTAGGAGAGGGTGGTCTATGTGTGAATCTGTTCCGTGGGATGAAATACATTCAAATAAAGAGGCTGGCCACATAAGGGAAAAAGCAACTTCCACCCTTCACATAGTGTCATTTGGAGAATATGGCTTTGCCAGAGGAAGAATGGCAAACTGTGTTTAAAAACAAAATTCAAGTTTAGCTGGGTATGTGGCACATGCCTTTAATCCCAGTACTCAGGAGGCAGAGGCAGGTGGATCTCTGTGAGTCCAAGGCCAGCCTGGTCTATATTATGGTTCCAGGACAGCCAGGGCTAATGGCAAGACCCTCCCTCAAAATAAAAAATAAATTAATAATAATAATATAACTTTCAAAAGTCTAGTTTAAAAACTTGAAGTTAACAGGAGGAGGCCAGAGCAGCAGAGAAGGTGGTGCCTGGAAAAACAGACCTACAGAGATCGGGACTGAATGCCTGAGGCTCTTGGCTCCCTCCTGAGGGCAGGTATGCATGCTCAGCTCACTGAGTACAGGAAGAGAGAGCCTGCTTTTTGTTCACCCATTCAAGGCAGAAGTCCCTGCAGTAATCCCCCATTTGTGGTGCCAAACGTACCAACCCCATACTACTAGTGATACGCCAATATTCAGGTTTTAGTTTTTGTTTTTAGTTTTCTCAAGGTCTGAGAAAAGCAAAGCAAAAATGATTTCGTCGGTCGCATCATCTTAATATGTGTTTATCAACAAGGCACCTAAATATCATTAAAACTAGAGTTTTCAGAGGAAAAAAAACTAGTAAAAATTCAAGGAATTACTACTAAATAAATATGTAAAACTATATTACCATACAGATTTAATTTTTTAAATCCTCAGTTTCTGCATTAAGAAACAATATTAAAAGCAAATGATCCAAAAGTTAAATAAATAAGTATGAAAAGCCTAAATTAAAAGTATAAATAAGTAAACATGTAGTAATTAAAACAAAGTAGACAAACTACAAAATAATTAGTGAGAATTAAACTCATGAGGTTTTCCTGATATGTCCCTCAACTTTGTCCTACTTGCTTCTGTTGTGACGAACTCCAAGAGTCACATACATATTATATGCATCACAAATTTAAAATATTATAATTCAAAGCATTAAGAAACAAAACAAAGATACAAAAAAGTTGGAGTATTCCTGCTTCTTTCTCATACCTAGAATTAAATGAGCTTTTCTTGGGAGAGGCCAAGTTCCACCTAATATTTTTATCTCAAAGCACAGGGCATTCCATAGTGTGAAGATATTTAATAACAGTGGAAATATACTATTATGAAAAAAAAGACTGAAGAAGACTGCACTATGGAGGCCAAAGCTGAACCCACCATGCAAATGCCTTGTCTAGCTCTTCACTTCCATCTCAAGTGGGGGCAGGAGGAAGTCAACTGGTCTACTCTTGAGCAGGTTCGGCACCCTGCAGTGTATCCAAGGAAGGAAGACTCATGAACCAGATACCTAAGACCTATGGAGACAATGATCCCACAGAGCCATGACACACAGGAGAAATGAGCAGCAGTGAATACTGGGAACTGGCCTTGCATGTACTGTTCTGGACGGCTGCTCATCTTAGAGCCCAGGCACTTGCCAGCCTTCTGGGTACTGGCTCCACTACTCCTCCACTCTTTGAGCTCTCTGGAAGTTAAACAGCTAAGTGAGTAAACTGTCACACAGGTGCTCCTGTGAGGCCCATGGCAGGGTGCCCGGCAGAGTCTGAGTCAAAGCTCCCTGTGTCTGGGTCACCACTGAAAGGGCTGTGATATGATGTCACTGAGTTTCCAAGCTGGGTAACAAAAGGCTGCAGCTTCCCAAGCCATGTGTCTTGGACATTTCACCAATATTAATTTACTTTCCTTAAAAGAACAAATTATGGAAACAAAATATTTACAGAAAACACATCGCATGTGTACATCTTACCATATTGCACGTGTAACAGTGGCATGGAAAAATAAAGATGGGTGCATTAGAATAGATCTTCAATAGCTCTATACTGTTTAAAACGTCTCGTTTTAAAACCAGTCAAAGGTCAAAAAGGAGAGAGGAAAACCTTTTTGTATATTCCCTTCCTCAAACACATCGATCACTGTGTCTCTGTTCATGATAAATTCCTGTTTTCGAAGCAGAGGCCAGGAGTGACAGTTACTGAAGAGAATGCCAAGTCAGAGCTTAACTGTCTGACACAGCTACACAAGCCTGTAGGCAGACAGTGAACAGAGGAGTGTGCCCAGGGAGGGACTGTCTATAGAGTGCCTGTGAAACAGCTACACACACACTGGTTACTGGTCTGCGGCTCCTAATCTCCTGCTTTCAAAGCAGTGAGAACCAACCCACTTCTACTGTGATAACACATCTGCTTTACAAGTCAAAAGCCAACGAAGCAATCCCCACTCTGGGCTGGGCAACAGGTCTCCTGCAGCCAGGACAGTGTGTGGGAGATATCTGGAGGGACCTCTTCCAGAGCCTTCCAAGGGCTTAAGACATGCAAAGCCTCACCATCTGCTGACAGCAAAATGAGAAAGGAGGCTGCAGGAAGCCCAGCTGACTCTCCTAAGGCGGCTGCAGCAGAACACCACCTACCCTGGGATAGACGCACAACTGCATGCAGAATTTCCAGGAAGAATTCAGAAAAATTAGGTTTATGCAAGGATAAGTAATGAAAGATCCAGAAAAGGTCTACCAAGCCATAGTGTTGCAGAGAAGTTGTTTGTTTTTGTTTGTTTGTTTGTTTGTTTTTAAGTACAACACTATTAGATGGTGATGGTTTGCAAGATAATTCATGTGGGATTATTTTTTGTTTGTTTGTTTGTTTGTTTGTTGAGATATGGCCTTGCTATGCCACACAGGCCAGCTTCGGACTGTGTGTGTGTGTGTGTGTGTGTGTGTGTGTGTGTGTTTGCGCGCACGCGCGCGCGCGCCTGGGGAGGTGGAAGGCAGAGGATATGCCTTCCTTACTCGTTCATCATTTGGAGGGCATTTGGGTTGTATCCATTTCCTAGCAATCCTCCTGCCTTAGCCTCCCACACTAGTTGCTTATTTTAAATGTTTATAAATCATCTTGGGGTGGGGCCTCAAGTCCCAGCTACTCAGGAAGCTGAGACAGGGAGATTGCCTGAGCCCAAGAGCTGAGACCAGCTCAGGCAACCACGTAAGACCCTTCCTCAAAATAAATAGGTAAATGCAAGTTTGCTTATAAGTTTCTCGTTCTAAATTTTATAAGAATTAGTTCCATTACAATAAAATCATGTCTTTTGATTTGAAATTTTATAATAGGTGTCCAGAATAACGAGGGCAATTATAGAAATCAAATAACGCCAGAAGTTCAAAGAGTCAGATGTATGGTCCCTAAAAAGGACACAATGCGTTTACAGGTTTGACTAAGGAAAGAGGTCAAATATGTTCATCAACATACTACGAGTTTTTGTTTTTTTTTTTAAAGTGCCTGTAAGATGTATATGGTTTAAAAGCAGACTTGAGACTCAGGACTTCAGGATATTGTCACAGACACACTATGGATTGCCTGATGGTCCAAAGGGACGGGCATAATTAATTACAGAGAACTAACACGAGGGCCCAGGGCTTGTGACTAGATCTGCAGCTCCCTTTCTGAAAGCCTTCTCACTCTCTAACTATGTGTCTAATGAGCATGTTCCCATCTCTATTCTAATTGCATTGAATACACAAGTTCTTAGAAGGAAAACTTTCTACTCTTTTAAATGAGTATTATTCAGTTAGGATACTGTTCTGCTAAATAAGCTGTCTGAGAACCATAAGAGATTTTATTTGTGGGACTGGGGAGATGGCTCAGCTGTTAGGAGCACTGAGTGGTCTTGAGGAGGACCTGGGTTCTGTTCCCAGCATCCCTATGGTGACTCACAACTGCCTGCAACTGCAATTCCAGGGATCCAATGCCCTCTTCTGGCCTCCTTGGGAACTACAACGCATGTGATCTACAGACATACATACATGTGGGCAAAATACTTGTATACCGAAAGGGAGAAAAATGTTTGTTTTGCATTAGCCTAGAGACTAGACTTGTTTAGAACTTATCTTAAACACTAAAGTCAAATTTAACAAAAAAAAAAAAAAGCAATTAGTGTCGGAAAGTTCGAAAAGAAAAACAATAGCTAAGAAAAACAATGGCTGTATTGATTCGAACACATTGAAAGAAAAGTGAGCACTCCCAACAGGAGGATGAAGGTGTGCTGCTAACAAAGATTCTTCCCATCTTCCCAAGTGAAGTATGAGAGGCACTAGCAAAAGAAGACTATATACCAGGGGGAAACAGATCACAGACCACTCCTGGATAGACATAAGCCAGCAGCTAACAGTGGAACTGGCAGAGAAGAGGAGAGAAAATTCTAACTACAGATTAGACTCTAACAGTATTAAATTCTACAGATTTAAAATCCATTATTTCCTTGAGAACTTACTATCATTCTCAAAATGACAATTAATGAATTTGACAGAAACCGAGTTTTGCTGCTAAAAAGTGTGTGTGCGTGTGTGTGTGTGTGTGTGTGTGTGTGTGTGTGTGTGGTGTGGTTTGTGGTCAGACAGCAAAGCATTGGGGGAAACAATGTATGCAAATGAGAGTAGAAACTGCCAAAGCTCTGTAAGCAAGGCCCTGCAACACAGTCCCACCCACTGGCTTGCGTGTTCTGTGACTTGAGAAGGAGGATTGTCAGTGTGAAGCCAGCAGACTATGAGTGTCTCATTTCTCAGCTGTGTTTCTCTGTAGCTCTAGATGTTTTTGTTTTGCTTTGGCCTTTAAGTGAAATTTTCTCTGATTAAAAATTCCAGATTTTTTTTAAATTTAAGGAATTTCTTCACATTTTATAGACAAAAATACCACAAATGAAAGAGCTGGCAGAAATCACGCAGATCCAAACTCAACCATCCACTTCTCGTACTTCTCCAAGTCTGCGGCAGAGACTGACTTGGCAATTTTCTTCAACGCCAGCTCAAAGTCCCCTCTGGTGACAGGCATCTGCAGCTCCTCTTTGGACAGGGCCCTGATCTCTTCTGGACTCAGGCCGCTGATTCGCCGTCTCATTGCCATCAAAGATGCGTCCCTGGAATCAGGCAGGGCAGTCAGTAGCCACACCTGCATGTGCTCTCAGCACTTCTAGCTATTACAAAGTTATGACAAACATCCTACGGGCTAGTTACGTGTGCTCTTATGATACCACTCAGAAGTTCACACTTCATCCTAATGTTTCCAAAGAGAATAAAAACCATGCAAGAGCTTGGGAGATGGCTCTGTTGGAATAGTGCAGCCTATGTAAGCCGAGGACCAGGAGTTCGATTCCCACCCACCCCCCAAAACGCTGGGTACATCGCCACATGCTTGTAATCCTCGTGCTTGGAAGGTAGAAACAGAAACACCTTCAGGTTTACTAGTATTTTTTACTAGAGACTCTGAAAACTATATTGGGCTTGAGGTCTTTGGACTCAGACACACCTGGAAAACACTAGCAGAAAACATGAGAAAAACAGAGGCCAAAGCTTTCAGAGAAAGCTGCTGAGACCAACTGTGCAGACTTCTCCATATAAGAACTAAAAATTCTCTTTATCGGGTGATGTCTCTAAAAGTTATGAAGTCCCTAAAATGAAAGGGAAAGAAAAGAAAAATGTGTGTTTCTTCTACCAATGAAACTGATCAACTTCATTCACCCACATGTGGTCCACATTTGCCCAATAAAGCTATACAATATTGCTTCCATCCGTATAGCTGGGCTCCAGCCTAAAGTTAATCAGCCAGAGGCTGCTCAGCTATTGTTGCCAAGTAAGACACAACGTTCCTAGAACAATCCAAACTCTAAGTGAGGAAAGGGGATAGAGCTCACTGGTAGAGCACTTGCCTACCACATGCAAGCCCCTGTGTCTGCTGCCAAGAACCATAAGAAAAGAAGCCCAAAACCCTAAGTGAGAGTCTGTAATCCTAGCATTCCTGAGACGGAGGCAGGGGGACTATGAATTTACAGTCTGGGCAACAGAGGATCTGGTATCAAGAGCAAAAAAGAAAAAAAAAAAAAAAGCAAAAATGATCATACTATGTACTTGTCTAACAGCCAATGAAGGTTTGTCTTAAGGGAAAAACTTCTGTATAATAATTCCATGTATGGCCGGGCATTGGTGGCACACGCCTTTAATCCCAGCACTCAGGAGGCAGAGGCAGGCAGATCTCTGTGAGTTCGAGGCCAGCCTTGTCTACAGAGCAAGTGCCAGGATAGGCTCCAAAGCTACACAGAGAAACCCTGTCTCAAAAACCAAAAACAATAAAAATTAAAAAAAAAATAATTTCGTGTATGTATGTTTTCAGGGCTGCCCATTTGGCACTGGATAACTAATTGGTGTGCTCCTCTCTGGGGAAGATTATTTCTCCTGCTCTTAGTATTCTTTAGTTGCCTACAGTTGCTTGTCTAGGGTTGAGGCCTCCTGAGCTTGGCCATCTCCATGTCAGCATGTCTACTTTGTACGGTTCATGTTTAGGCAGTCATTGGTGGAAGAAAAGAGAAAGGAGAATGATATAATTTTATTGTATCCTCAAAACAATAAATATTTTTAAAAGAAAGTAAAGCTAGTTGAAAAGAAGGAACAAGTACAGCAGTAGGAAAGCACATCAAGGAAACGGGGCTGGGGCTGCTCCACGGACCTTAAGGCTAGTCACCCTACAAAACTAAAACCAACGTCTGAGTCACCGGTCACAAAGACACACCTGCACACGTTAGTTATGTCGGCACCGGAATAGCCCTCAATCTTGTCAGCAATGTCCTCCAGGCGTATGTCAGGATCCAGCTCCACCTCCCGAAGGCTGATCTTCAGAAGCTCAGCTCTTCCTTTTGCTGTCAGAAGATGAAATGTCTTGTTAAATCTACAGACCATTTTGCTGAGGAATCCCATCTAAAATCCAGGCACAGAGAGCAACGTCAAGAAGAGTCAAAGACGGCAAGTGCCCCAGTGCCTCTGACTTGCCTGCCAGTGCAGCAGCATTCTACTTTCTATATGTGGTCACTGAAAACAGAACTGATTCCATTCTCCTTGTAGATGCAAGGCCTGCTCTGAGAACCAAAGATAAGATAAACACTGTATTCAAACGCCAGAACACTTCTAAGTAAAAACACCTGGGGTGTGGGCACTGGGCACTGGAGGGACAGCTCTGCAGTCAAGAGCACTGGCTGCTCTTGCAGAGGACCTGGGTTCAGTTCCCAGAAACCACATGGGGCTCACATCATCTGTAACTCCACTTCCAGGAGATCTGACACCATATTCTGGCCTCCATAGGCACTGCATGCTTATGGCATAATACATGCTGGCAAGATACCTATCCACATAAAATTAACTTTAAAATTGGAATATCATTTGGCCCACTTTATCAAATGAGACCGGATGGAGTATACCTCCTATAAGTAACTCAGCTCACATGTGAGGATGATAGATTTATAGAATTCTCATCAGTGGTTCAGAAAAATTCCTAAGACTCAGCAGTGAGCACAAATGGCTCAGTAGTGACATTTCTACTTAGTCCAGAGCCACTTGCTGCCGGCATAGCTTCCTCCCAGTGCCAGTATGGATTGGACTCTCTACTGAGTGACTTGGATTTCACAGCTGCAGTCTGTGGCAGACCTGCCTGAACAAGACACTATAACAGACCATAACAGGTTTTCCTTGGTCTCTACTTCCTAAGATACAAAACAAATTTAATTTCCCTCAACTGTTATTTTGAAAAATTTTAAATATACAGGAAAAAAAATCCCTTACTTCTCCTCAAAATTCACTGGATGCCACTAGTACCACTCTAGCTCCTTACTTCTCTCCACACACACTTGTGAGAGAGAACCGGCTGCAGATAACATGATACCCACACAGTCGTGAGCATGCATCTCCTGAGAACAAAGACATATTCATGTTTTTCACTATTACTAGGAAGTACAATAGCAGTGCCTAAGAAGTATGTGAAATACGGTTTAAGGTGCAATGTCTCCGTTAGCCTGGGCCTCACGGCTTCTAACCCACCGCATCCTACAATCACACATTATCTCATCATTGTCTCCCATTAAAATCGCGCCCCATGAGTTTGTTTCTATTAGTTTTATCCTTCATGGCACAATTCTTCCCCCAATTCATAACACCAAAACACTTCCATGAACGTCTGAAGAGGTCTGTTTACAGAACCTGATGGCAGATTCTAAAATGTGCATCAATATGGAAAGAACCAAGAACAACAGAGATGTTCTAGAAGAACAGCAAGGTGGGAAGAATGGCTGTTAACAATTTATAATATGGCCTGCAAAACAACTGGGTGCTGTCAGTGGGACACTCTGTGGATGCAAACATGTCAGTGGACAGAAACTGGAGTGGGGTAGACTCTAGACTTCAGGTTATAACAGATGGTTCAGGTAAAGAGGAAATGTAAACCTATCCTCAGGGAAAATGAGATGCAGTTTCCCCTTATTCTATACACAAAAATCAATGCCAATATATCACAAGTAAAATAAATGTAAAATTATATGCATTTTAGAAAATGACTAGGAAAATAGCTAATGATCTTAGGAAGAATTTTCTAGATACATATTTTTAAAGAGGAGTACTGGGCCAGAGAGATGGCTCAACAGGTAAACTGCTTGCCATGATATCATCAGGATCTGAGATTGGATTCCTAGCACAGTCATCAAAATCTGGGCATGGCTGCGTGAGCCTGTGATCCCTGTGCTGGAAGGGAGGACCAGGGAAGCTGAAGGAAGGAGGCAGAACTGAGGATCCTGAAGGAAGAAGGCAGAACCGGGGATGCTGAAGACAGGAGGCAGAACCAGGGGTCCTGAAGGAAGGAGGCAGAACCAGGGATGCTGAAGGAAGGAGGCAGAACCAGGGATGCTGAAGGCTCTTTGACCAGCCAGTCTACTCAGTCAATGAACTCCAGGTTGTGAGAGACCGTGTCTCAAAAATTAAGGAGGAGTGGCAGAGGAAGACACCCAACACCGACCTCTGACCTCCAGAGGCACATGCACAGCACTTACACACATGTCGGCATACATGTGGCACATACACAAACACACACACACACACACACACACACACACACAAACACACACACCAGAATGAAGGAAAAGCTAGCCATGCAGATAACACCTGAACTAGGGACTCCTATTATCACAAGAACCACGTCCCCAAACATTCTTATGATGAAGTTCTAACTCCAAGTCCTTTGGAATGTGACTGCACTTGGTGACAGAGGCTTTTAAAAAGATGAGATCACATGAATCTGTCCTAACCCAATATAACCGATGTTATTATTAAAAAGATTAGGACACAGACATATTCAGGAGGAAGGCCAAGTGTTGACACCAAAGGAAGATGGCATCAAGCAGTCAAAGAGAGGGGCCTCAGAGTGAAAGATGTCTACACAGCCTGATTCTAAGGATCAAAACCCTGTCTCCTCACTTGCTCAGGTGACTAAGCAGTATTAACTCTGGGGGAAACACAGCTGGGTCTACACCAGTCATGACTTCCCCAGAGAGCCTTGCTGGAGAGCACCTGTGCCACTGTGTGGCTGGTGCCAGTGGCTTCAGCTCCTCTCCTAGAGTCTTGACAGTCACTTTGGAAGGAAATGTTGTCTTCCCCTGGGTCCACAGATGCCCATGACCAGAACAGGATGAGAAGGCCTGGTATCTTTGCCTTCATCCTGTGTCTGTCCTCCTGGCTGCCTTATCCTCTGGGAAGATTCCACTTGCCCTGCACATGGACAGGCTGATTATTAGAAAACTATTTTCTCCAGAACTAAAACTCAGCATTAATCTGATGGAGATGTGCCTAGTCTCTCATCCCCTTCAAGGTAAAGTCACCTATTAGCCATGCTGCCCATCACAGGAATGAGGGAAGGTGGTATCTGTGCTCCTGGAGGACCTCCGCCTGTGCCCAGAAGGATTGTGGATGGTCCTCACCCTTTCATCACTCCTTCCCTGCACCCAGATCCATCTCTCTGTGGTGGAGAAGCAGCTGCACGCAAAGCTCCCTCTTCTCCATTCTTCCATGGCTAATAACACTTCTCTCTATCTCCCCAAACTCACATCTGGGAGAGCTCCACATGGACCACACCTGGGTTCCATTACACCTCCACCTTGGACTTTGTGACTTCCCCGGCTATGAGCAAGTGGATTTCTGTTGTTAAATGCAGCTAGGCTTTGGTGTCTGCAACAGCACCCCTAAAAAACAACTGAACACAGTAGAGCACCAACTACATGGCACCATGAAGGAGCTACATCCATATGTGGTAACACGGAGTCTCTAAAACACACTGAGCGAAGGCAGCAAGATGAACAGACACAGTTTTGTGACTGAATCTATATAAAATTTCAAAAGAAATAAAACTGTTTGGAAATATATTAAGTAACAAAATTACAAGGAAAAACAATAAATGACTTCTATAAAAGGAATGGCAGTGGTTAGCAGTGGCTCAGGAAGGGGGTGTGCTGGAGGGGACGCTCTGTGGGGCTGCTGAGTTCTGAGGAGGACCTGTTTCTTTCCTAGAAGCAGTGGCAAGAGTATTTGACTTGCCAATACTTGAATAAGCTGAGAATGCTAGCAAACAATTCTGCCCTGGGTTGTGGTTCACGCACACATAGCAGAAGAGACAAGACAGCAAGAGCAGCTACGGTGGAAAGATAATAGGCATGCATTTTTTTTGAAGTTTCCAGAAAAGAAGAAAAGAGAGGTCACAACTTGAGGATAGTCACCTCCAGATATAGTGTTCTGGAGATGAAAATGAGCCTTGAGGCCTTTGGGACAAACATGTTCAAGTCACCAATTCAGAGCTGGGATATGTGTGACAGTGCACGAAGACCGAGTCTCTAAGGGAAGTCACTTCAGCTACTGCTGTAGGTAAGATCATTTCAGAGCCCAACCAGCAATTAAGCACTACTGTATGCAAAAGAAATCCTTTTAAGCCTCGGTTATCAAAAGTGGCAGAATAGAGAGTGACAGCCAGGAAAGCTGACAGGAAGCAAGGCCCGTGAGCTGAAATTCTACCAATTAATTATGTCACATAGCCTGGAGGCCAAGTCACAAGAGTGATCAAGTAATACATTATAAAATACAGTTTCAAAATTCAGAGGCAAGGCTTGCCTTTCTAGCCACAGAGAAATAACTGCTATCAGACAAGCCCTCCTCTGGTAATCATCTATACACTTAGACAAAATCATGAGGCCAACTATTTTCATGTATGGGTGTTTGCCTGCCTGTGCGGCCGTGCACCTTGTGTATGTAGTGCCTGAATAGCCAGAAGATGGCACTGGATCCCCTGGGACTTGAGTTACAAATGTTTGTGACCCACCATGTTGGTGCTGGAATCAAACCTGGGTCCTCTCAAAATGAAGTCAGTGCCTAGACCACTGGCCATCTTTCCAGCCCCAGGAATTTCAGGATGGGTTTTTCTGAGTTTTGCCTGAGTACCTGCAGGAACACACTTTATAGGAAGGCAATACCCAGACTCCCTACAATATAGAGCATATGACATAAATCACTGGATATATTAATAAACAGAAAATGCAAAGAAAGCAAGAAAATTGAAAAAAAGAAACAGGTGGTCAAGAAGTTACAATGGGCTAACAAAGTGAGAAGTGGCAGTCTGTTTCTGAGAAAACAGTAAATTAAAGTTTAGAGGTGTAAAATAACATCTTAGTCCCACAGTTTCTGTGATTCCAAATCTGAAAGCAGTTTTTCTAGAAAGTTCTGGCTGGGGGGTCTGAGCTAGCTAATTTATTTGTTCAACTAGTGCCCAAATCTTACGTTCAACTTTATTCTGGAGCTCAATATTTAAATTGGTGGACTTTGAGAACAGCAGACCACCTGCCCACAACGTGGCTGGGCCTCACCTGATCATTTGAAGGTCTATATAGCTTAAAACATTGGCCTCTCCCAGGAAAGGAATCTGGAGGCTGACAGCTTTCTGGCTTAACTGCCTGTGACATCAGCTCTTCCTGGGTCTCTACCATGGCAGCTCACCCTGCACACTGTGGACTACGTGAGCCACACCCTGAAGTTATTCCATCCATCACTACCTCTCCTCTTCCTCTCGGTCTTCTCTCTCCCTCCATGACCCAACACACAGACAGAGAGATGAACTCTATAGGTTCTTTTTTTTTTTGAAAACCCTAACAGAGGATGCCCTAGTTTCTTTCTTTTGCTGTGATAAAATATTCCAACTAAAAGTAACTTATCAGAAGAACAGGCTTATTTGGCTCACACTTCCAGGTCACAGTCCATCACTGCAGAAAGTCAGAGCAGGAACTCAAGTAGGAACCTGAAGGCAGGACCTCTTACTTACTCCACGAAGTATTATGTTCAACCAGCAAACTCACAGCCAAGGACATACAACAGAAACATGGAAGGATGCTTCTTGATGGCTCACAGACTCACACTTGGCTAGCTTTTTTATATTGCCCAGGTCCAACTGCATAAGGATGGGACTACCCACAGTAGACTGGGCCCCCCTACATCAACTAATAATCAAGACAATTCCCCATGGACATGCTCACTGGCCAATCTGATGTAGGCAACCCATTAAGACTCCTTTCTCAGGTGACTCTAGACTGTGTCAAGTTGAAAGTTAAAGCTAACTAGGACAGAAGGGATCTCATTAGATTGTACTACAGTCCTAGACCAGTCAATCTAGAAGCAACTCATTCCCATGACTGGCAAGATGGTGGCTATTAGTATAAGTCTTCAGTTCCCATGTGGGCTTCCCCATGGTTGCCAGAGGAACTCATGTCATGGCTGCTGGCCCTCAAGGGACAAAATAAGGCAGAAAATATTCTTTTTCTGACCTAGGTTTAGACCTTAGCATCGTTTCTGCCACACTCTATTACCACCCAACCAATGTCGGGAAGAATTCTGAGAAATAAAGGGAAGGAAGAGACAAAAGTGAATGAGACAATGATGAAGAATCCCAGCAAAATAACAGAAACTATTTAAAAACTGGAAATGAAAGATTTGCAAAGCAGACCTAAAATGAAAATTCACAGGAAAAGAGACTGCAGAGGAAATGCTCGGTAAACAAATGTAGAAGGAGCCTATCAGGAAAAGGGTTAGAAGAAACAAATAGCACCCCAGTGATGGTTGCAGTAGGACCAAGATGTCCAACACACATGCAGAACAAAGAAAAAAGGAAACCCCACATTACAGCCAACTACTAAAATACAAAGTGCACCATCTTAAAAACAACAAGCAAGTCAGTGACCAGCCTGTTGCTATAGCCAAACATGTATCACCAATGTCACTTCTCAGCATTGATGCAGGAGAAACTAGAGCATCTGCCACACAACCAACCAACCATCAATGCTCATAGCAGCCTCATTCACAATGGCCTTAAACTAGGAATGGTCTAATATCAACCACTGGGAATGGAGAAAGTCTGTGATATGTCCACACAATGAAACAAACAATGAAATATCAGCCCAGGTGGGAGAAGGAAGGCAGACTGGGAAGGGCTCCAGAAGCCTCTTTAGGAAGAAAGGGTGGACTTGCTTCTTGGTATATGGTCTCATGGTGGTACACAGCTGCCATAGCTCAGCATCTGATGTGAATAAAGTTTATTGTGTCTAAGTCATTCCTCAGTAAAACTGATTTTTAAAACAAAGAATTAACCAGGGAGGAAAAGATACCCCTCAACATACAAGGGGACAATGACATGAATGACAACTGACATCACATAAGAACAGGCTCAGAGTAGCCCAGCAGCACAGGGAATAAGAGGCCCTAGATGCTCTTCCTCCTGATCTGGGGAGACAATGTCTTAACCTCACCAAAGCTCAGAACCATCTAGCAAGCCACAGCGTGAACTTTGTGGAAATGGGTGAGAAAAGCCGCCTGGCTCTGCAGTTAGTTCTTCCCCCTAGCTAACGGCTCCTAGGTTAAGGAGGAAAAGGCCAGCTTGGAGCTTCCCTTGGGAGGGAATGAGAAGAGGGAGGCATGTGCCCCACATTCCAGCTTCCATAGCACTGCCAAAGGACTTGACTCCGCTGGCTCAGGCTTCAAGCATAAAGGAAGAAGAATCGGTACCCCTTGGCCTGAGAGCCACCAGGAACAGAACTCGGCAGCTGCTGCAGCCCCAGAACCTATGGCACCTTGAATAAAAGCTTGCACAGCTCCACAGGGCTGGACATAGTGTCCCCTGGGAGGAAAGAGAAGAGTGGAGCATGTGTCTGTGTCCGGCATCCAGGAAAACTGTCCGGGGCACTGATTTCCAGCTCACAAGACTGTTTTGCAGGGAGGGTTTACTCTTTTGAGTTTCACTTTCTCCTTTTCTGAAAGCAGAAACAGAGGACCTAGTTGAGGCCTTTCTTCTTTCTTAGGTGCAAATGTTAACATCTGTGACTATTTTACGCACACTGACTCCCATGGTTACACTGATCCAGAGGTGTTACACAATGAAGAACACTTAGGGAGATTTTACTTTCACTTAGTTGCTTCATTTTCCTTCTGTCTATAAGAGCTGTTGTGGTGACTCCTTCATTCCTAATACTGGCAATTTATCTCTGTTGTTCTTCATTATTTCTCTAGAGATTTGTCAATATTAACATAATGAACAAATGTTTGCCTTGTTAATATTCTATTTCATATCTCACATTTTTCTAATTTATTTCCTCTACACATTTAAACTAATTTCTGTTTCAAAGTCTAACATAGTATCTACTCAAGCCTTTTTCAAGGTATGCATTTACAGACCTTAAAACACTATGTTGGCTTCATATCACAATATTTAGGGTGACATATTTTTCCTACCAAAACACTATTTTCAATTTTTCCAATTTTCTTTGACCCTTCTGTTATTCAGAGCTAACTTGTTTAGTAGTAAAATATTGGGGATAATCTAAATACCTTATTGCTAGTTCCTAATTCAATCCCATTACTATCCGGAATATACTCTGCAAGATGCCAGTTTCTAAGATTTTTATTAAATTGAGAAAAGTCCTCTCAGCAAATGGTACTAGAACTGAATATACTCATGGAAAAAATAAAAGCCCACCCCACAATTCAAGAGAATCACAGGGCTAAATATAGCTTCTAAAAGTAAACAGAAGAAAGCTTTACAGCCTAGGGGTAAGCAGATATTTTCTAAGATACAGGAAGCCCTATTAATAAAAAACAAAACAAAAAAACCTTTAAAAAAAGGTCTTCACAAATTAAAATACTCTGGCTACCAAGAAAGAACATTAAGAAAATTGAAAACTAAACCACAAATTGGAAGGAAAAAAATTATAAAAATGTAAGTAAAGAGAATTTATATAAAGCATTAATAAAACATTAACTGTTATAAAATGAGGGACACAGTACATAAGTTCACAAAAAGGTGGTCAAGATATAAGTCATCAGAGGAACCAGATTAACCACAATGAGATGCCATTTCACATCAACAAGAGCAAATAAAACGGAAACACTGCCAACAGCAGCTATAGGCAAGGTTGCAGACTGCCCTTCCCATTTATTGATGGTGACAGTGACAATACAACATGTACAACCACTCAGGAAGACAGTTTGAGTATTCCTTATAAAGTTAAGTACAGCTGCCTTGTTAGAAGTGAGCAAAGCATCAGTCTTATAAAGTTAAACACACAGCTCCCCTGACTGACTAACATATCCCATTCATACTACCCAAAGACCTAAAACAGTCATCCACAAAAATATGTATAAGGCTTAAAGCTCTACTCATAATAGCCAAAAACTAGAAGCAATTCCTGTGCCCATCAGAGGGGACTCAACACACAGCAGCATCGTCACATGGACAAGAAATCACTGATAAGCACACTCATACATGCAAATCTCAAAGACTTCTGCAGGACGAGAGTCACTAGACACTGACTGTATGCTGTCACCATACTGTTTACACAATGCTTCGCAAGAGAGAAAACTGGCCTGTGGTGATGGAGGACCAGGCAAATCGCTTATGCAATAGCCATTTAGATGAACTGCTGGGACATCCTTTCTAGGATACTACACTGATTGAACATGATGACACATTTCAGAGAACCAATCATAACACACTTGAGATATACACTTCTCAACGACATATATATTTATCTCAAAGGAAAAGATAAAAATAAGAAATAGGAAACTTCAACATTCAAGAGAAAATCACTTTTGAAAGTCCCCAAGACAACTTTTTTAATATTTAAATTAGGGTTAATGGAATCCAATTTTAGAAGTAAGAACTGGAGTGCTACCAAACTTACCAGCACAAGTACTGCTCTAAGACTAAGGGTTTCTCTGAAATGCAAAGGACTTCACAAGGGCTTTGTTTCTGTCACTCAGATCGTCCCCCTAATGCCACAGAGCTCTTCAAACAAAGTGACAGTGAGACAGAGATTTAAATAAATAGAAAAGGGTTAACAGGAAATGACAGAAAGTTCCAGATCCAGTAAAAGGAAGCATCATACCTGTCGGTAGAGGGATGTAGATCCTTTTTTCTAGTCTCCTTCGAAGAGCTTCATCAATGTCCCACGGGAAGTTAGTGGCAGCCAGAACCATCACCATCTTGGACGGATCGTCATTTTCTAAGGCTCCTCCGACTCCTAGACACAGGGAGCAGGGAACAGGCTATCAATGTTTTGTGATGTCCACTTCAGTCCTTTCCCTCAGCCAGCCTCTCTAAGTGTGAGCCACAGCCCTCAAGTGATGCACCTTCACCATCTCTGTGACCTTGATGGAGTGGCAAAACCAGACATCAACACAGAACAAAACAAAGGGGCTAAAGAATTTGACAACCTAGGGCAGGGCTCTTCCAATCTGTATTTAAGAAAATAGTGCATATTGCTTCTGAAAATTCAGGCTGGGGTCCACTTAGTTCTTTAATGTTTTCACTATAAATTACCTCCCCCCACCTTAGTTTTGGGTTTAATTTAGTTGGCTTTCTCAAGAAGAGAGAACAGCTGACACAGAACAACCAAGGATCTGTGTGCATTGTCTGCTTCTTCACAATTAAACTCATAGGATTAAAAACTATCCAGGCATGGCAGTACACACTTTTAATCCCAGCACTTGGGAGGCCAGCCTAGTCTATGCATTGAGTTCAAGAACAGCAAGATCTACAAAATAAAGAGAACCTAACTCAAAAACAAAACAATAAAAACAACAACAAAACCTTTGAGAGTGTACAGTTGGCTCTGGGCAATACATAGTGAAATATTATTCATACATATGTTCACAAATGTGACAATTTACCAAAGTAGTATATTTTGAGCAACCCAGTTCAGCATGCATAATAAATAAGTCATTACTAAATGTCTTTTTAAATAGTTCTCGTGAGGAATAAACCTCTCCAGCTAGTAAGCAGCCATGATACTGTCCAATGAAATCCTGCTGGCTGGATGTTTATTCAGTGATGCACTGACCCTAATTTTAAACACCTCATTTTCTGCTATGCTTTTCTCCTAAGTAAAATGTGGTCCTTCTGTTCATATATATGCAAGAGCTGAAATGGTACACTAACTGAGGGACAGGTCACCTAGCACACAGTGCCATTGTTGGTCTCTCAATGCCTGATATTGTGTACCACGTGATACGAAGTACCCATCCTCAGTGTAGTGCTTTGAATAAAAATAGACCCCATAGACTGCAATGCTTGAATGTATGGTCCCCAGTTAATGGAACTTTTTGAGAAGGATTAGGAGGTGTGGCCTTGCTAAAGGAGGTGTGCCACTAGAGGTGGGCTTTGAGATTTCAAAAGCCCAGCCCAGGCAGGGTCTACCTCTCCTCTCCTTTCCTCTCCTTTCCTTTCCTCTCCTCTCCTCTCCCTCTCTCCTGCTCTCTCTCCCTCTCTCCCTCTCCCCCTCTCCTCTCCTCTCCTCTCCCTCTCCTCTCCTTCTCTTCTCTCTTTCTTCTCCTCCTCTCTCTCTCTCTCTCTTTCCTCCCTCCCTCCCTCCCTCTCTCTGTCTGTGTCTGTCTGTCTGTCTGTCTGTCTGTCTGTCTGTCTGTCTGTCTCTGTGCCTGCAACTTGCAAATCAGATGTGAGCTCAAGCTGTTTCTCCAGCACTATTCCTGCCAGGTTCTAATCCCCACCCCCCCACACACACACCCATGATGATAATGACTAACCCTCTGAAACTGTAAACAAGCCCCCAGCCAAATGCTTTCTTCTGTAAGTTGCCTTGGTAGTGATGTCTCTTCACAGCAATAGAACAGTAACTAAGACACTGATTCCACAGCTGGTGGGTAATCAGAAACAGCACTTGCTGGGTATTTTAGACACATTTCCATCTTTTCCTATGGATTGCTTAAACTGCCTGCTGTCTACCACACAACTACCAGACTGAGTTGTGTCTAAAGAAGTGCTGAGCCCCTAACTCTTCCTCATGGCTCTCCAAATCCTTTTCCTCTTTGTCTGGACAATTCCAGCCATGCATCAAAGCCCCTCTGCCTCCGTGCTGCACCTCCCACCCTGACCACTGCCACTCCTACACCCAGAGTTTCTTTCTGCTGCAGAGGAACCACTGTGCAACTTTTGGTCAGCTGTCAGCCTCAGGTGTAGCCGATGGTCTTAAAGGTTTTGGTCTCAAGACCTCTAATGCTCTTAAAAATCCCTGGAACTCTTAAGAGCTATCACTGTGTGAGGTATGTCTATCAGTATTTACCATTAGAAACCAAAACACAGAAAGGCTGGGCTGTTGGCTTAGTGGTGCTCGCCTATCAGACACAAGGCTCCAAGTTCTAGCCCCAGCACCATAAGTAGATAGATAGATAGATAGATAGATAGATAGATAGATAGGTAGGTAGGTAGGCAGGTAGTTAGTTCAAAGTACCAACTTGTTGTAAAAATAAGACTTCATGACTCATCAAATTAAAATAAATAACATATTTTATGAAAAACAAGCACAGTTTTCAAAAACTCTCAAGTCTTAGAAGACTTTTTGTTTTGTTTTTCAAGACAGGGTCTCTCTGTGTATCCCTGGCTATCTAGGAACTCACTCTGTAGACCAGGGTAGAACTCAGAGATCTGCCTGCCTCTGCCTCCTGAGTGCTGGGATTAAACACATGGGCCACCAACTATTACCTGGCCTAGAAGACTTTTAAAATGACACTATGTCTGAGTAAATAAGAGAAGAGCAGCATTCTCCCATCTGCCTCTGCTCTCCATCCTTTGCAGGTTTTGTAGACCCTGGGAAGCTCTACTACATACTTGTGAGAGAATTAAAGCAAAACCAGTAAGTGTGCCTTGATATTAGTATTGAAACTGTGTAGCCCTTGTAGAGCCCTCAGGTGGTCTGAAGGCCCAGGGACTTCCAGTCACACCTTCAGAGCCTTGGCTCTACCAGCAAACTCCTTGGTGGCCAGCGTAGTCCTTTGCTCCATAACCTAGAACCTGAGCTGGTGTGTGGTTCGCTGTGAGTATTCAATGAGTACTTTAGATGCATGAACAAGTGGGTGATGAGCAAGTGACTAAAAAGAAGTCACAGCTGCCTCCTGACCCACTCATTCAGAACTTACAAATCGTGAGTACAGACATGGCTGAAAGGGAGCGACCTTGGGAACAGTCTTTAAATGTCAGTTACCGTCCATCTGGACCAGGAGCTCAGACTTGACTCTGCGGCTTGCTTCATGTTCGTCAGACGTTCCTCTTCGACTGCAGATAGAATCTATCTCATCAATGAAGATTGTGGTGGGGGCATAGAACCTAGCCTTGGTAAAAACATTTAAAGTAATCATTCAATGATCTCATAAAGCACTCGATTTTTTAGGTAGCTTTTTCATTCTAGAACAGTGGCAAATGAAAGCTATAATTTTTGTCTATTAAAGTGGTACCACTATCTTGTTATCAACAATAACTTTAGGAAAAAGCAATCCAAAAATAAAACTTATGTGGTTGGTGATTTTGAGCGAAAGATTTACAGAGATTCATTTTTATTTTTTCTACTTTTTATTTATTATTATTTTGAGACAGATCTCACTATGTAGCCCTGACTGCCATGAACTAGGTATGTAGACCAATCTGGCCTCAAACTCAAGTGATCCACCTGTCTCCCTCCATAGAGGGAAAAAAAACCTTATTGGAAGTAACTTTAAATCAATAAGTCAATATCTAATGACAGATCCACCTCTGGCTGTTTTTTAAAAGTCTTCTGTCCCATCAGTGCACTAGACATCCAAAATGCCAATCAACCTCACTGGACAGTGTGCCAAAGGGCCTATTTTCATCTCATCAAGAAAGAGATGTTGAAGACACACCAAGTATCCTACAAAATCCACTATCACTAATGTGTCCACAGCTAGTCGGATATACCCACACTGCTCTTTCAGAAAACCTCAAGGAATACAGACCTGGATATGAGGAACCACAGGCCCAGACAGACAAACAGCACTTGGAAACCCAAACACCGCACACTTACCATTTCAAACAACAGACGGACCAACTTCTCAGATTCGCCTCTGTACTTAGAAGTCAGTGTAGAAGAGGAGACATTGAAAAAGGTTGTCCCACATTCAGTGGCAACCGCTTTAGCTAGCATAGTCTTCCCAGTCCCTGGAGGTCCAACCATCAGCACACCCTGAAAACCCAAGGATGAATTAGGCAACATACTAGATTTAAATGTTTTCTAGAAACGATCATCAACTGGTAATGCTGGTGTACATGAGGCTCCCCATTAAAATATAAACTCTATTGCCACTGTGAGATCTGTGCATTTAGCAAGAGCAACAAGAAAATGATGAAAGCCATTTCTCCAGGTGTTTCAGGTCACAAGTGGCCAGAGATAAGCTCATAAAAGACCGGCTGAACAGATACTGTGACTCACGCCTGTACTCCCCACACATGGGCAGTATATAGAGAGTGTTCAGAGTTGGAGGCTAGTTTGGACTCCAGAGGAGACCCTGCCTGATAAAACAAAAGATAAGGAGGAAAAGAGGAGAGGAGGAGAAAACAAAAGCATTGGCAGCAAAGAGCCCTCTTGTGCATTTAGAAAGAACCTTTCTTGATCCCAAGGGAAGACAATCCTGTAATTCTGTGGACTTCTTAGAGTAACCCTTCTGGGGCTGGGAAGATGACTCAGTGGTAAAGAGAATGTCCTACTCTTGCGGAGGACCTGAGCTCAGTTCCCAGCATCTCACAACCACCTTTATCTCTAGCTCCAGGGGATCCAACACCCTCTTCTGGCTTTGGGGGTGCCTGCACTCACATGCACATACCTGTACATAGACACAAAACACATAATTTGCTTAACTTTTTCTTTACAGAAAGAGACATCCAAAAGTTCTTAAAATTAGGCTCTAGCTCAGCACTTGAAACATGTGACTTGGAAGATGGCAGTCACTGCTCTAAGCCCATCTCTCTTGCTGTGTGGTTGCAGCACATCTCAACCCCAAATTCACACCCAGGTGTGGAGGTGACTGGGAGCCCAATCTACTGATGGTATGAACACACAGACCCACAGCAGCACTGCCCTTCAGTTATGCAAGCATCCCCACTTCAAGGCTGTCAGACATGCTCACCTTCCATGGCCTTCTAATCCCTTTAAAAAAGTCAGGCATCCACATGGGAAGGACAACAGCTTCCCGGAGCAACTTCTTAGCTTCCTCCAGATCTGCTATGTCATCCCTTTGAAAGAACAGTTGCATGTGTGTTTACTTAGGGGACACCTCTGATTTATGGTCAAAGCTAATTACATTACATGTGTTTGCTTACAAAGTTATTCTTATATTAAGATGGTATTCTAATTCTTAATATAAAAAATAACCAGTGAAAACATACTGGGCTATTAATTAGAACACTTTATGCAGTTAGCAAACGTTGTCAGCATGTCAACAACAGATTAACATGTAAAGTTTCCTTTGCTAGAGTATGACAGAACGAAGGTGTCATCAGGAGATGGGGAGAAGATTCAAAGCAACAGGCCCTTGTGATGTTTTCTCTACTATAATTCAAGACTCTCACCAGTGAATGCTAGGGTTCCTAGACACAATGTCCCTCTCCAAGGCTTCCACCAGATCCTTATCGTACCCAGCACCATCAAATTTGGGGATTTCACCATCACTTGCACCATCTTGCATATTTTTCCTTCCCTGGAGTTATGAATAAAAAAGTTATGGTCAGTAACAAAGTAACTTTAATTGATATTATTATGTTTTCAACATATAATGTACCTGTGTGTATATGTATGTATGTGTATGTGTACATGTGCATGTGTGTCCATGTGTTCATGTGTCTGTGTGTGCACAGAGCAGGGACCAGGGATGAAATCCAGAGCCTATACATTCTGGGAGAGCACTCTAGTACTGAGCTACATTCTCAGGCCAGAGTAATCTCTTTAAAAATATTTTCTTATGAAGGGAGTGATGGTACACACCTTTAATTCCAGCACTCGGAAGGCAGATGCAGGTGGATCTCTGTGAGTTTGAGGCCAGCCTGGTCTACAGAGTGAGTTCCAGGACAGCCAGAGCTATTACACAGAGAAATCCTGTCTCAAAAAAATTTTTTTCTTACTATTTAAAGTAATATCTTCGGGTTGCTTAGATGCCATCCTGCCCTATGTAATTCATCAGAAGTAGATCAACTGGTCAAACATATGTGACCGTCCTCACATCTACATTCTCAGGGGATAGCTGCAGGTAGGACTTCGCTGACCCTTCCTAGATCAGCAGTCTAGAGAAGCCTGCCTCTGACTCACTGGACAAAAAGGATTTGCCTCTCTGCTAGAAGATGGTCAACCAATGTTCGAGAAGAAGATTAATTACTGAACACTTGCCGCATGATAGAGCAACCCACACAGTATCTCATTTGATGTAGCAGCCCAGCACCACAGACTGCTTTTCATTCTCTATGGATAAGGAAAAGGGGCTCAGAAAAGCCAAGGGGCTAAACACTTCTCGGCCTCTTAACTACTTAAGTGCAAAGTCTAAGGAAGACTCGACTCAACAGCAAAGGTTGGGGCAGAAAAATGTCTTCCTAAAGCAACACCTTTCCATGGCTCTCCCATCTCACAACTGACTGAGTTGCTTACCATCTCAGTGCCATATGGCAGAACTAACAGATCAAAGGCTCCAGACAAGATGACCCTTGACACTGTTCCCTTGACACTGCTGGTCACCACTCAGGACTCAATGGTCTCCTTCAGACAGCTCTCTGGGCCACATCACAGAATTGCTCATCATGGCAGCACACACTGTTATAACAGCCAAAACCCCCTCTCATTTCTCCCACCTCTTCCTTCTGCTCATACCTTTCTCACTCACTGCCCAGAGAACCTTTTCAATCATAGCATTAAGACCTAAGGAAATGTTTGATCTATCCTAAGTTCTTTTACTAATAGTGTGCTTTAAAAAAAGGGAATTCTAAGCTATTGCTATATTCAGTCAGTGCTGAGAAGGTGAATGTGGAAATGCTCTGATTTCTCAGCGTTTTCAACCACAGAACTGCTTTAATGAGTAGAGCCATGCCCCTTCCCAGAGCATCGGCCCCTTTCCGTCTGATCTAAAAGTAAAAGGTAAAGGGTCACGATGAGGAGACAACAGAACATGATGGACTTCTCAGATTCTACTTCATAGATAAACAGAGAGGCACAGTCAGTACCAAAAGGGAATCAAATGGCTCCTTTGGCAGAAGTTCTGGCTCTCTGAGCCACTAGGTAAACGGCCAAGCAGTGTTCTGGTGACCCAATCACAAAGATTTACTCACTTGGGCAGTATAGCAGTTGCACTGGGATGAATGCTTAGGAATATCCTTCCAGTTCAAATGGCATGTATTAAAATTGACTCTTTTGAAATGAGCAAACCTCTGGCATACTGACACCACAAACAACCTCAACAAATTGAAAACAAGCTCTGCCTCAGATCACATTTTACGACATGGCTAGGCCAAGGCTACAAGCCACATTCAAGCCAATCCCTGGGAACTCTGTGATCATTTTAGAGTAGTCTAGAAACAAAGCAGCAACAGGCGTCAACAGAAACCAACCTAGCTGGCTCCTACAAGCCTTCACAAACCTTTGTAATTTGAGACTTGCCAAATTAAAATTAAGTTCAAGTTTGACTTTCACATGAATGTCCACATGACAGGGAGACTTGACACACACCAAGAGGAAGTGAATGCCCAGTCTCTGTCTCAAAGAAACAAGAATCCTGAGATTCTAAGAAAGTTACTGTGAGCAGTGTAGTTTCAGGGCAGGGGTGAAGATGCGTGGTGTTGCCCTCACTGAGCATCTAGGCGGGTGGAGGACGGGGGAGCCAAGTCATCAATGTGACTAAATGAAGAGGCTGGAGAAATGGGCAGCAGTGAATCTGTCTTTTATAAAACGAGCATGGACTACCATAACGTGACCCGACTTTCAGACGACCCTACCTGCCATGGTAGGGAATAACACTGGGGTGGAGGAGAGGAACCACAGAAGTAAGCCTTTCACTATAGGGGAGGAAAAGGGATGGGAGTCACTGAAGGACTGGCCCAGCACATTCCCACAGAGAGGACCTCTCCCAGCGAGGACCAAGTCAAATCAAGATGGTGAAGTGAAACAAAGGAAAAGCTAGTGAAGCCAAATGAAACCATCAGCAAATGGGCAACAACTGTCCTTATAGCAAACATAAATTAGAACAGGGGTAGGCAATATAAATACCACATGCCTGGGTAGGAGCAGACATTAACTGCACTGCTTTAATGAAATGGACGGTTTTCAAGCAATAAAACTGAGACTATCACTTGGGATGCTGTGACTTATACATAACACTAGGCTGGAATGTCACAGGGTGATCTCAGACTCTTAGCTTTGTGCACTCATCGATAAGGTCAGAATTACCAAGGATGTGACAGGGTGGAGGCTGGCATATAGTGTTTTTCATTAAAGCAAAATACTTAGCTTCTTATTACTAATTCCTAAATTATTCAAATCAAGACAGTTTCCTTAAGGATCTTTTATGAGTAATGCCTAGTCATTCTATCTGAAGAAAATGAGGCTCTAAGTGATGAATCAAGTATTTATAGCTTGCAGTCAATGATTGATACAGCTTGTCCCCAAATGTAAATAGCACTTGCATTTGCATTTGTAGCTTCTCACACTGTGGGACTAAAGTGATTGAGATCACTGTTGAATGAACTATGCGGAGGACAGATGACCAGATGATAAATGGCTCACACATCATGACCTATGGAGGAGGAGGCCAGCAAACCTGTGCCACATAAGCTGAGGAGATAGTACAAGAGCAATGCCACCCACCAGCTGCTCTGTCACTGCAGAGGAAGAGCCAGGGCCAGCATGAGGCAACAGGAGAAGTGGGTTTCAGATCAGCACAGGATTTTCTAACAATGGGTCCTGTTCAGCAAAGACACCGACTTTCTTATTAGGCAGTGAATGATGTACAGTCACAAGAACGACCTGGCTGAATTGTAGATGGCTGTGGTTTGTTCTGTAATCTCATTGCTTCTCCCTTGTCCAACTCACTCTTCTCTACTGCCTAGCTTCAATGGCCAAAAACAAGTGCAAAATTTCTTGACCGTTTCAGATTTCTTTCCTTCTTTCCTTTTTTTCTTTCCCTCACTCTTTCTCTTGGTGCTGGGGATCAAACCCATGGCCTTATATATGCTGGGCAAGCACTCTTAGCACAGAACTACATGGAAGCCAGAGACATCAGCTCCTCCTGGAGCTGCAGTTACCCAACTCTGGTCCTCTAGGAGAGCAGTATGTGCTCTTAACCACTGTGTCATCTCTCAGCCCCAAATATCTTCTGTAAAATACGAATCTTGTATAATCTTTTCCACGTCGTTATTGGTCTCCCACTGTCATGTTAGCTTAGCAGTGAGCATTTGCTCTGCTCTCTGTTAGTGTCCTGGGAACTTGGCATGTATCCACACACTCATTCTAAAAGAAGTGTGAAGAAGGTATTCTTTCTTCCATCTCACAGATGAGAAAGCTGAAAAACGAAATCAGTAGCCTGTCTAAGCATGAACAGCAGCCTCGTTTCTCTAGCTACAGGCCATGCTTGCAGTCACTTTGTTCACAGGGCAAACTGCTGCACATAGGGGCTGCTCCCAGGTGGCAGCAGAAGTAAACACAGGAAATGTTAGACAAGCGCCCCAAACTGCAGCCCACCATTGTCCTACTGTTCTACAAAGTAAAGCAGGCAGATTAATGCAAAATGACACTTACTGATTTGGGTGCAGTGCCCTGCACTGTCCTATCAAGACACTACAATCGTAACAACAAATCCACAGCAAGTTGTAAGCTTGCCCATATGGATGTTCTTTACATGATATGCATGAGCTCGTTTAGTGTGCCAGGCTCAATTCTAGGCAGAGAATACAGCAATGAAGCAAACAGACAGAGACCTCTGCCCTCATGAGGCTTAGAGGACACAGTCAAACACAATGAAGTATTTAGGGTTAGAACATCAACGCAGAAGTGTCAAGTGGTTGTGTTCACAAGCATCAAGAACAGAGGCAGACAGAAGTACCACAAGCCATGGCTGAGCGCAGTCAAAGAGGTAACAGTAGTCAAGCCATCCCAGGCTTATAAACGCTGGTGGAAGGACACCAGCTGTTAATCTTAAGTGGGAAGGAAGGGAAAGGTTTTGAGCAGAGAACATGATGTGAGCTGTGTCCCGGGCTGCTGGGGGCAAACATACCAGAAGCAATGGCTTCCCTGAGTTCTGGCTTACACTTTCTATAGTGTACAGAATGGCTAGCATGAGTAGTAGTTTTTTGTTTGTTTTTGTTTTTGTTTTTGTTTTTTGTTTGTTTGTTTGTTTTTTGTTTTTTTGAGACAACGTTTCTCTGTGGCTTTGGAGGCTGTCCTGGAACTAGCTCTTGTAGACCAGACTGTCGACAAATAATAAATGGGACCTCCTGAAACTGAGAAGCTTCTGTAAGGCAAAGGACACAGTCAACAAGAATGGGAAAAGATACTCACCAACCTCACATCTGACAGAGGGCTGATTTCCAAAATATACAAAGAACGAAAGAAGCTAGTCACCAAAACAACAAATAATCCAATTAAAAAGTGGGGTACAGAACTAAAAGACAATTCTCAATAGAGGATTGACTGACTGAAAGAAACTTAAGAAAGTGCTCAACATCC